GGAGGATTTCTGCTAGACTTTCCTCTTAAAAAAGTGCTCTTTATGAAATCAAACTGAGCCGTTTTAAAATGTGTTACGTCCACTGTGTGGTGTCAGGAGTCCCTGAGCTCAGCTGTGCCACCTTGTGTCATTCACCATGTTGGTGCCCGACTGCAGTCATGTCGCAAAACATGGAAGCCAATCATTTAAACTCACCTCTCAGCCATCCTGGGCAGCACCAGGCGGGTCATCTGAAATAATGACAACAACACAGGCTGGGTTATTATCAGCCATCACACACAAAGGACAAGATTGGAAAGAGTTTTATTTGAAAGGACTAAAAGTAGAAGGGGAAAGAGAGGGAGAGGCAAGCAAAACACAACAGAGAGAGAGTTGCGTGGGTGGAGAGTACAGACAGCGTTGGTGTAGACCACCGTTGCTTTGGGAACAACTGAGACACTGCAGGTACCATGTAAGAAGGAGCAGTAGAATGGAAGGACAAATTAAAATAATAATAAAGAACATTGATCCTATGAAAACCTATCCTGGAAGATTTCAGCTGAAGAGTGAAGATGTGCAGAGCCAAACTTACCTGGCACACTGAGGTCATGTTGACGTTGATCATGTTGGTGATGAACTAAAACAAAAGACGGTTCATGTCAGGTAAATATTCACCCCGATAGAAAACCATGTAATAAACATGAAGTAAACGTGTTTAAAAAATGAGGCAGCACCAAATCTGATGTAAAAAGTTCATAAGATTATTAAGCAAAAACATTATGAAGTAGTAACTGACCTTGTCCAGATCAGGGATGTGAAGGTAGTACTCAGGGTAGGAGTAAGACACACCAACGTTGTTGACTGATGGAGATAAAAATTTAAAAAAAGGTAAAATAAGTTATTACTTTTCTGTCCTCTACAGAAGAGTGCTGCTGCAAAAGTAAAAAACAAACTTCTACAGCACAAGATGGCAGCAAAAGCAAAAAGATAGAGACAGACACAGCCACGCCTCACAACCAGTGGAGCACAAATGGTACTTAAAAAAAAAAAAAAAAAGGACAAAGAGTTCCTTAAATGTTCAACTAAGAAGTACAGTACATTGTGAACTTCAGTCTGCACCAACAGCAGCTCTAAAATTCTCAAATTTTAAACCTCACAGGCCTTAAAGCGGCCACAGGAGGAATCCATATCTCACAGGTCAAATGTCAACACAGGTTTCACAATAGTTGAATAGACAGCATAAAAAAACAACAACAAAAAACAAACAAACAAACAAACAAGGAAGCATTTCTTACCGAGAACACCAATCTCCAGACCGGCCAACCCCGACTCAATTTTGGAGTAGATGTCTGTTTTACCAAAGTCCACTGCAATGGTTCTGGTTTCTACATTGAACTGCTCTTCTGTAGAAAGAAAACAAACAGGCTTCAGTGTGAAATACCATGGAGCGTGAGAGCGTTCCAAATCACAACACACAACACAGTATTGTTTTACAGGCTGTGTGTGAGCTCAGAGATGAGTTTTGAGATTTCAGTTTTAGGTTTCACACTTGGCACAGAGGGTGTGTCAAAGTCCGATACCGCATTGCAATGATCCCGTTTCAAAACGTTGAATCCGTTTTAATGACACGGAGCAGGAGAACCCTCATTGAAAACCGAACTGTAGAGGGCAGTGTGCACCAACATACTAGGCCCAGGAATCCTTTACCTCTCCCTTCCACTCCCTAATGTTTGACGTGCCAGCAGCAATTAGAATTTTTTTTTTTGTCCAGAGACTTGTTTAGCTGGTAGATGGCACAGAGAGTTGCATGAAGAAATTTGCTGCGATGAATCTCCGCAAAACAAACAGAAGCGAGTGTGTTTATGTGTTCAGTCAGGATTGAAATGAGATGAAGAAAATATGGAAGGGTGTGAGGCAGTGAGTAGATTAAAAAAAAAAAAAAAACTGGGCCAGAATGAGTCAGAACCATCCAGAAAATCTATATTTGAAAACGGTCATCAGATTCTGAGTCAATGATGGTCAGCGATGACCATGACAGCTCATTCAGACGTTGACAAGGTGTCTATAAATTAAGGTCACACCTATAACATCACATTTTGGAGTTGCCCTTATCTGATGAGACCACGAAAGATATTTAAAAGCTGCCCAGGAAAGAGGAGAAACAACAGCAACAATGACATTGGAGGACTGAAAGGGTGGGCTGCTCAGTAACATGCCAAGCAGGAAGGCTTTGTCAGACTAATCGTGAGGGAAGAGTGCCAGAGTCGGGCACGCTGCAACTGGCTCGTGACTACCCCCTCACCCCCTCTGTGGACTTGAAGCACGACAGGGAAAATTGCTCTGTGGGAGACATCAGAGAGGGGTAGAAAATAGAGGGAATTGGGGCGAGGGCACTGTTTGAACGGGGAGGGGAGTGGGGGGGCAGACGAGAGAAAACTACTCTGTCAAGGAGGCCCAGAAAAAGTCGTTCCTTTCCAAAAACAGGTGCTCATTCCACCAGTGGTTCGTTCTGTGTGTGTGAACTCGAAAACTGAAAATCCTCACGTGTCACTTTCATTAGCCATTCCACGTAATTAGACCGTCTCTACAGGCACCAGGGAAGCAAAACAGTCTGCCCCGTTCGCCACCGCACAGAGAAACCATACATTAGGTGAAGGCCACGCCTTTAAACCCTGACAGTATTGTTTTTCTGCTGATCAGGTGTGACTCAGGTTCTGGACCTGGTAACTGACGAGCTCCGTTTTCTTAGTCTGATAGTTTCCATGATGTGGTGGAATCAAACACACACCCACTAAATGTACTCAACAAAGTGTATGTACACTCACCCAGGGATTTGGCCACGTCATCCAGCTTGTCCTGGGAACGACTGATCAGCATCACGGCAAATCCACGACGCGCCAGCTGAAAAGACAGACGACAAACCAAACAAAACAGAACAGAGTCTTTTTAAAATTAGAGTAAAAATACAACATATTAACCTCTTCTACCTGAGGTTTTGAGTAAGTTCAAGTTTCCATTTGATCCTTCATGACAGTAAATGGACAAGTTTGGAACAAGATGTCTTTAGTTATGTTTATCAAAAATATTATCCACCTGGACTTAAGTCTGAACATGAAAATATAACAACAGTTCTATTAAAAAGGACCCCGATGTTAAATATCAAAATATAATAAATAATAGTAATATAATATAATATATAACTGAACTGAAATGAGAAACCATAGGACACTTTAGTTGATTACTAAAAAAACAAAAAAAACCTGCCTCAACATTCTGCCTGCATAGGACACTTGAAAAAAAGGACACAAAAAAACCTGCCTCAACATTCTGCCTGTAATAAAACCTAAATAACTCCACAGATAAGAACATTCACCATAGAGTTTACTGTAATGTCTGATTTTATCAACACTTTAACCTTGTAAAGAAGTTTCCAATCTCAGTGAAAGTTGCTGCCTAAATAATGGAGGTGATTAAATTATAATTAGCAGTGAGCAGTCACATGCCAATGACAGCAGCAGTAAGAGTGTAAGGTCAAATAGGAGAAACAGTTCAGAAACTCTTCTCCCTGGAGTGTGTTCATTTCCTGACTCTAAACTGCTGGTAAACCTACAGCAGATCAGTGACACCAACATGTGTCAGGCCTTTGTTAGTAGTAGAGTTCACCAGTCTCACCTCCTCTGCATAGGATTTTCCGATTCCATCCGTGGCTCCCGTCACAACTACAGAGACAAAGGAAACACAGAGGTCAGTATTGGTAGATTGAACAAATGACTTCCCTTCACTGGAGAATGTACTTAACAGTAAGACGGCACCACAGTGGAAGTTCATTCATCCCAGTGACCTCCAGCCTGACCCTTCCACAAACAGACCAAATGTAAAGTATACGACGTTTCCATCGTCAACCTGTCGCACGCTAAAAACACACAAATCTAAAGCGTAGTAAAGCAGTCTCAGGCCACACCTCAACTTCAAGTTCGTCCGCTTTCGGTTGTCATTATGGTTTTATGAAGTTGAACCTGAGCAACTTCAACAGGTGACACACCCCACTGTACTATTCCCATGCTTTTTTTGGGAAAGCCTCAGTCGAAGCACTCCGATGATACGAAACGAGACGCCAATAAATGTTTAACGTATGAATTGTGACCAAGATGTAAAATACATCCCAGGAGGGTGAAGGTGTAATTAGTCACAAAGGTTTCTTCACCAAGACAAAGAGCAGAGAGTTAATGAAAGATCATTTAGATAAAAGAACAATGGAGACTGTAAAGGCCACACCTAATGAATCCTTTATGATAGTAAAACACAGAGGTTAAAGACGGATTCTTCGCAGACTGGAATCTACGTCGTCTTCAGTGGCAACGATTAAAAACAACAGACAAAGAAAGTGTAGTAACACGGGGCAGATTTAAGGACGAGAGCAAATCTGCAGCCAGTCAGTGAAGAGGCAGAAGCATAAGCAGACAGATGGGAGCCGATGTTCCTGTGTTCAGAGTTCTCTGCACCTTGTCAAGCAAAGCAGAGCTATTTTTAAATCCCTCACTGCCCATCAACTCCTGATGGAAGGAGGGAGGAAAGAATGGATGGAGGGAGAGAGGAGGAAACATGAAGGGACGAGAAGAAAAACATCAAGAAAAAAAAAGTTCTTAAAGGTGGTAGTGAGGGGGAACTGGGTCCTTAAAAACACATACAGATTTGCGCATCATAAATGTATTATTAGCCAGGTTTAATGAAAGATTAATGGAGGTAGAGGACATTCTCTGACAAAGAGCTGGAGAGCAGTGAAAAGACAAAATGAGAGAGGGGATGGGAGGGGGAGGGAGTGATGACGAACATGGAGCAGGAGAAACGAGGAGGGTGAAGTGGGGTAGAGGGAGCGGGACAGAGGGGGTGAGGAGGGATCCTGGGTGGGCTAAAAATAGAACTGGAGCAAAGCAAAAGAACGAATGAGTGAAGGAGAAAGAGACAGAGCAGAGATGCAGTGGATGAGGTGGGGGAGTGGGGGGGGGCAAGTGAGTGAGTGAATGTAAGAGAGAGAGAGAGAGAGAGAGGGAGGAAGAAAGACAACTGGAAAAGAAACCAAAATCTCTGGTTATTTTTAAAACTCCACCATGTTAAGAATGAAACCTCCTGGAAAAGAAAAAGCCTGAATGGGCAGAGGATGAACCGCAGCAGGCTGATGCTGCAGAGGCAGGGAGAGGCTAACAGTCTGGGGAGATACATCCACTGCAAAGTCACAAGGTTGGTGAAGGGTGGTGGGAGATGCAACCATTTTGAAGTATGAGAATAATAATAAAAAATAAAGAAGCTACCACTTCAAACTGTTGGTAAAACGTCACCAAGAAACAGAGATAAATGAACGTTCTCCATGTGAGTGAATAGAGATCAGTAGAACACGGACTACATTCCTGTCCCTTTGGAGACAGCAGCTGGGACATGTGCCGTCCCACACCTACAGTGCTGTACGCGGCTGAGGTTCACGGTCAAGACAAGAATGTCCTCAAAGGTGCATTTTCTTAACTTCTTTAAAGAAAACTTCACAGCGTGTTGTGTGACAGAGTGTGAAAACAGGTAAAACTGTCTCATACCTGAATCCTGACGGTGCATAAATCTAATTCTGACGATACCCCTGACAAATTGTTTAACTAAGGTCTTAATAATTTACTTTTTAAGAAGTCATATTTAATGAAAAATGATTTGTAAACTGGGGTTTAATAAAGGACGCCATCAAACACCTCCACCCACTACAGAGTGTAGAACTGAGCAGTTAGAGTTAAAATGACTTCACAAACATGACTTCTTCATTTTATATGATATCTAGTGTTTGATGGAAGCCTAAAGTCTCCCTTCGTTACTCCCCCACTCCTCTTCTCATGCACAACGCCCACCCATCCTCGTGCCGTACTTATGAATGACTGCACACTCCACCCACCCATTATATAATAGTACTTTTTTCAATAAATGTTGTCCAGGGAGAGAGTGTGAGTGTGAGACTGAAGTGTGTTCTTTTTAATGAGATGGTTGGAGGGGGCTGAGGGTAAAGGGGGCTGATTCATTTTCTTTATTAAATATGTGGTTTTGCTATAAAACAGTTGACAATTTGGTAAAAAGGTAAACAGTGGGAATTCACAATCCTACAAATCTACAGCAAAAAAAGGAAAATATGATAGTGGGAATTCACAATCCAATCTACAGCAAAAAAAGGAAAATATGATATTGTCCTTAAATGTTGTTTGTATAAATTTTAATTCTGGGGTCCCAAAAACAACCGTTTCATACACCGTTCAGGTGTATGTACATTTACAGGCAGTTCAACTCCTTCTGAATGGAAAGCGATTTACAGCTTCCTTAGACATTTAATATTTCATTCTAAGTTGACTATCAGTTCGTCAACCAGCTGTGAACAAAGAACGTAATCTAGGGATTTCACATCTCCAATGCCTCAAACTGTTTATTAAAAAGCCAAACCACTCCCAGAATTCAACAGAATGTAGTTTGATGACATGTCTAATGAAGTTTCTTTTACATAAACAACATTACATCCATGACACACACTCAGATGTGACAAAAAGCCTCTACGCAAGAAACCACGTGAATGACAGTAGTGTCACTGATGATGAGAGAAGATGCAGTGGAACACCCTGACAACGGGGGGGAGTGTGTGTGTGTGTGTGAGAGTGTATAAAATGGAAAAATAATTAACAGATTCAGGGGAGATTCTTTGTTCAAACACACACACACACGTGTGAGCAGCAGAAAGGATGTTTGCACTGCTGCTGTTCCTCATTAACTTCCACTAGGTTAACTCTAAACCCAGCATCCTCTAGACTCCACTAACCCACCCCAATTATTTTGTCTCTGACAAACAAAAAAAACAACAAAAAAAAAGAAAGTCCAACATGGTCCACCCGAGTCATCCTGATGGTGGCGCGCCCGCACCATAAACCGGTGCTTAATGCTGCAGATCACGTCCAGAGGTATTGACATCCCCCGGCCTTATCTGTGCCTCCCTCCCTCCCTCCGTCCTCAGCAGTGGAGCAGCCCCTGCTGCTGCTGCCTGCTCACTATTCCGAGGGTCTAAAAAAAGCAGCAGGAGGAGTAAAAATAGCAGCGCGCCAGCTCTGCCTCGTCTGGGAGCTGCCTGCCTGCCGCAGCACCTGAATACCAACAAGCCCCCCTCTCCCCCCCCCACCTCCATCACAATCACCAGGACGACGGAGCAGCTGCTACATCCTCAGCTCCTCCACCTAAACCTACTGATACCAGCAGTGAGCAGCACGGGAGGCTCAGAAACACACAACTCTAAATGTGATTAAAGCAAAAAAATATCTGCAGCTTTGAACACAGCTTTAATGGAGAACGACAACGCGGGCTAAGCCTGTAGCCTTACTGTAGCTAAAACGTTAGCTTTCTTTTTTTTTAATGAACGGCGTTGTTTCCAACGGCTGGTGGTTAATTTGTCAAAATGACTTCCACTCCGATATAAACACACGATCTTTTCGGAAGATTCGAGACATTTTAATATAGGCTGTACAACAGAAAAAGACCGAAATAAGAGTTCACTAAAAACGGAAGCCTAAACTAGGATTCTCACAGAGGAAATACTGCGGTCCTCGTGTGCCCTGTTCTTGTTCCGTACGGTTATGTAATCTGTCGCACCCTCAACTCTCCCATCAAAGAGCAGCCCCACCTGCCACACAGGAGGAGGGAGGAGGAGGGAGGGAGGGATGCAGCAGAGCATCCAAAGACACCTCTCTCCATCCCCCTCTCTCCCTATAAAATACACACCTACACCACACAAACACACACTGCTTTAAATAGTAGGGGATATAGTGCCACATGGGTTATTATGAAAGTCGATAAAAACAAAGAGCTGGATGTGTTGGGGGGGAGAAGAAATGAGGGAGGAGGGGGAGAAAGGGGGGCTTTCCCCAGAGTGCAGCTCAAGATAGAAGCAGAATCTACTATATTTGGGTAGAGAGCAGGAATATCCTGCCCCCCTCCCTTCAGTCACATTTATTAGACAGACAGTCTAGTCTAGTCTAGTCCATCCTTCACTTGTCTGGAATGAGGATGGTTTTGTGTAAAATCCACTTCAGGACTTTCTGTATGACATGCCACACAATCGTCACTGCTCTGATGAAATGACCATTTTCATTTTTCATTTCTTTTTGGCAGTGGATGAATGTCGACTCCACATACTTTGACTTCTTTTGTTCAGGAAACTCTGAGGTAACTGGAATCCTCCAGGTATTCTATTCCAACAGAAACTTCTCTAAACAACATTGCATTTGTGGAACATTGTACTGAAACCAGCGTGATGTTACAGCTAAAATAATTATAAAACTTTTGGGATAGTCAACCGGTCAATTTGAGGGTTTTTTCTAAGAGACTAAAAACTGAAGTGTTACTGTTTGATGTGAAGTGATTTCTTTTTTCCTTTTTTATATCTTAGTGATGGAAGAAGGAAATCGCAGTTTCACATCATATCTATGTGAGGTGCTGTGTTGCAGCTAAAAAAAAAGTTTCCAAGTAATCTGGTTATTTTGTTAAGAAACATATTTTTGCTTTTGCACAAACAAAATTAGGTTTTATATTTTAGCAGCCCTTGTTCACATTATTCAGCCTCTGTGACTTTCTATGATTTTCTACTTCTAGCAAACATTTTAGTTGCTCCACAGTCACTGAAGAATCCAGGTGTCGTCGCTCAACATTTTGCTCAAAGGAGCAATGTTTATCGTACGTCTCTCCACCAACAGGAATCCAAGTTTACGTCACTCCAGTTTCGCAACTGTACACCATTTAATCACTTGCTGTAAAACAAAGGACTGACGTAGTGACTACATGCTGAAGTTATGTCGAAAATGTTGACGTAGTCTGCACAGAATCTAGAAAACCAACGATCCAGGAGACAGAAACTGAACATAAGACAGTTAGGGGAATTAGGGGAAATGTTGAAAAAACAAAAATTACTTTTGAACAGAATTTTCATCCAAAAATATACATACAGTTGTAAAAAAGAAAATTGGTAGATTGATAAAATTGTACAGACTACAAACTGTGAAGAAGGCTGATGTTCAGTGAAGTGAAGTGAAGGTGGGGTGGGGGTGGGGGGAGATGTACAGTATTTTCACCCAGCATTCACAGTTTCTGGCACGTGTCAGAGAGTGTGTGTTTCCTCACATGAGCTGCAGTGAGCAGCTCTCTCTCTCTCTCTGTCTCTCCCTCTGTCTCCTCACCCACACATTCACACAAAGCACTAGGGGGAAGCACACTCACTAGGATGAACAAGTGGAGACCCTGCCTCAGCTGCACACGTTCACACATTTCATTCACATATGTGCATTTTTCTCATGAATGAAGCTCTGGGCTTATTCATAAAAACACACTGATAAATGTTCCTTCATTATAATTAATGACAGCCGTCACTTTTGAATAACTCCCGTTTCACATGCATCCCCAGAGGCCAATCCCACTCTACCAGTTGTTGCATAAGTGTTGACCCCAGCCTTTGTCAACCCTGGACTTATCTGATGAATGGCTGCATCCTTCTTATATAATAGAGTGATTTTCTCAATAAACTGATGTCAAAGTGAGGGGGGGCTCTCAGCTTCCTTTTACATCACTATAACCCCCGCCGGTGCAAAAAGCATCCTCCACCATCATGCATTTCCCTCTCACAAACACACACACACACGCACAGCCTGCGTTATGTAACATCAAATGCTGGGGGCTGAGAGTGACAACAGGAGGGGAGAGGGCAGAGGTGCTGCCCTGACAGATGCTGCATAGAAATACAGAAGCATAAATATTAAAGCCACATTTTAAAAGTGTGTTTAACCAAGGTTTGATTGAATTACCCAACATTTTTAGCACTAATGCAGCTGTACTGTGAGGAGAGCTGCTGTAGTTTTTGTTATGGATGCACTGGCACTGTCTAAGAAAGAAGCAGCTGAGCTGAAGGTGCTTTAGTTTGGAGACAACGTTAGAGAAGCAGGGATCACATCATATGACTGATGAGATGGTGACAAAAAGGAGAAGAACTCACAAATCTGTATGTAAAAAGGAGAGAAAGACAGTTTGTTTTCCAATAAAGGAGTCAGTGGCAACTATTAAATTAAGTGATTCTTTTCAGAAAAGCTAATGAATTTAAATAAAAGTTACATAGTGGTTGCTCAAGTTCAGTCAAAGCAACTGTAAAGAAACCATGTGTGCCTGAGTGTAGGCAGCAGGAAAGCTTGGGGGAATCCACCTCTCTGGTATTGCAGTGCTCCTATTCTGCCACTAGATGTCTCATCTACTAAGGTGAAAATCTGCACGCCTGACTCTGCTCCACACTGGATTTAATAACTGCAGAACTCCAACTACACAAATAAAAACCAATGACGCGAAAACACAAACCTGATTACAGAAATAAATAAATAAAAAGTCGACCAAAAGAGTTCAGTGTTAATCCAGACAGTTGGAGGAAACCTGTCTGACCAGGAAATACCACTCTGCCACTGAAGGCTCGTCTGTCCGTGAACCTTAGCTGCAGCTCAGTTCAAATGGATTCACAGCATTCTTAACCGAGGAATTTACCTGGAGCTGCAGTTCAATTCCAAATACACACCTGTCATTAAATGAAAAGAAAAATATATATAAAATAACTGATTTGGCATCAGTTATTTTGAATGAATGTAAAACTCTGGTGGTGAATTAGGGGATAGAGAATTTTATCAAGTGTAACATAGAAAAGGAACATTTACTGCTACAAATTTAAAAAAAATCTGATCTGTTTTTAAAAAGACTCACACAATAAACCCTATGGTCAATCTCTGTGGCTGGAACAACAAAGGCCTATAGTTTATCTCATTGCAACAGGTGCTGGTCTGAAAGGTGGAGACAGACACACACGAGTGTGAAGGAAATCATGCCATTGCTCAACCTGACCAGACCTGTGCATCCAGTACAACCAGCTGTGGAGAACACCCTCTGTTTCAGCAGCACGGGGTCACCTCCAGCACAGACTTCAACCGTTAGGATGACACAAGAGCCGAGGACCAGTCGGACTGGACTGGTGGCAGAAACTGGTTTCAGGGAGAGACGTTGTACCTCTTGATGGGGGAGGGTGGGAGGCAGGGGGACGGGGAAGAGGGGGGTGAAAATTCAGGGCAACAACTATGGCATGACATCCAGCAGATGTAAATGATTGTATGGAGTTACATTTAGAGCTTGTTTTCTAAAATTGATTCTGCAGTTAAAGAAGGAAATCTCTGCACCTGGTATGAAGCTGAGATCTCTGTGTGTGTGTGTGTGTGTGTGAGGAGTCAGAGAAGAAGTGGGGAGGGCCAGGGTGGGAGAAATCACAATTTCTATAAGACCAAAAGATGACGAAGCGT